TCCATGAATATGAATAGGAAATTTAAGATATAACTAATCCATTGTGGTTATAAATAATTGAGATTTTTAAAAAAATTATTTTCTTTTCAAGCTGTTTTAGGGAGTTGAAGAGAATATTTCCTGTTCTCCCAGGAGACCTGAGTTCAGTTCCTGTCACTATATCAGACAGCTAACAATCACCTACAACTGCAGGACCAGGGTATCTGATCTCTTCTTCTGGCTATCACAGGAACATGCACACATGCATATGCGTGCACACACACACAAAAAAAAATCTTGAATAATAGTCCTAATGTTTTTGTGCATTTGGATGTTCATGTGTATGTGTGCGTGTGTGCACATGACATCATGTGTATTGAGATCAGTGGGCCATTTGCATGAGTCAGTTCTCCCCTCCTGTGTGGGTCTCAGGGATCAAACTCAGGTCATTAGACTCAATGACAAATGACATAACCTGCTGAGCCATCTCTAGGCCCATGATCAAATGCTAATAGCATGACAAAAAATCACAAAAAAATGTATTTAGTCAGGATAGTAAAGTAAAAGAAATCCAAAGTAATAGAAGATAATATGTGGAATCTTGCAATAAAGAGAAACAAGGAAATACGAAGGGATGTGACCAAGAAGGCCTTTGTTTGATGGAACCTGGAGGCTGGAGAATACTCAATTATGCATTAGACTGAGACTCACCTCGGATTCATGTTGTCCATCCACTTTAGGGGGGCAGTAGATGCAGCCCCAGACTCCTAGACGTCACCAAGAAGGAAGCAACCTATTCATTTTCGCCCTTTGGATCCAAACTAACTTTGTCTTACTTTTCTTACCTATCAGATTGCATTTCACAGGACACTCCAGTGACCCTTTCAAGATGCAGCAAAACCTCCACCCCGCCTCTCCTGAGTGCGGATGCCTTCTCTTTTCTTGCTGTTACTGCATGGGGCCGTGTGCAGATATCCACCGCACACAGCCTCACAGGTTGCAAGATGAACTATTTGTTTGACAGGAAAGGTCTGGAGTCCCGGGGCCTGAAAATGGGAGTATGAGTCAAACCGAGTATTCCCATAGTAGGGAGAAGATTTTACAGTTAAGTACGTTATGGAAGTCAGGTGACTAACTCCTTTTTATTATTCACTGTTTCTCCATTTCATAGCGGGCAAACAGAGTAGGAGGCAATTATATTCCATTTGGGTTTTCTCTACGGAGGGGGCGGGAGTCTCCCCACTCTGAAACATGTAAAAGCAAGTTAAAACCATACCATTTCCTTCGGAAAGAGAGGACTTTTACGAACTGTGACTGTTCTCTCAAAGGAGCCAGAAACCTGCTTTCAATCTTCTTATGAAGTTCCCAGATTTCTCCCAAGCATCCAGGTTCCTGGATTCTGCTGAAAAGCACACACGGTGCCCTCCCCTTGACCACGGCAGCTGGTGATGCTAAAGTCACCAGGGAACAATGCGCTGGCTCATCCCCATTTCACGCCTGAAAATGGGGGTAGCTTTGCTGTGCCGTGTATATAGACAAGCTCAAGACAGGCTCAACAAAATGAGACTTGCCTTCAAAGTCACCACCTTGGGCTCTTCAAATTAATTCAAAAGATGAGATTATTGTCCGAGACATTTTTTGGAAGTCTGGGTTAGGATTTTGCCTTTACAAGAAAATTGGTCTCAATTGTAGCAGTCTAGTGTTTGGAGGTTACAGGCTGTTTCTTAGCTTAATCGTTCATTTGACAGGACATCAATTTTAGTTTAAGATAGACCTCATTCTCCAAACATCTGTCAGCAGGGAGGGGACTCAAAAGAATGTAAAGGCATCTTTTCGAGCCCCAGTGCATTGGCTCCAGGATCCCCTCCCCAGACAAATCCTCAACTGCAGCAGAAAATGCTTCCGTGTTTGCGTATAACCTATGCACGTCTAAAGATGACATCCTTTAAGCCATATCTAGATGGCACACAATAACTACCGTGACATAAATACTATGAAAGTAGTTATAGGTGATTGTTAATGGGAACTGACAAAGAATGACCGTCTGTGCATGTTTAATACAGACACAATTCTATGTGTGATGTACGCAGATGTATACATGCTTGTATATGGAGACTTGAGGTTGACCTGAGATGTCTTCCTCAGTTCCTCCCTGCTGTATTTTTCAAGACTGTCTCTCACTTAACCCGGAGTTCAACAATCAATCTGGCTTGACTGTTTGCCAGTGAACCCAGGGATCCTGCCTCTGACCCTCTACTATAGAGAATCATCGTACCCAGGGTTTATGTGGGTGCTGGGAATCTAAACTCGGGTCCTCATGTTTGTGAAACAAGTACTCTCTTGGGTCATCTCCTCAACCCTAGTCATGAACTGAAAAGAAAAATTCTTTTCAATACATGGTGTTTGAATGCTGTTAGGATTAGAAACCCATGCCTAGATCTGGAAGAGCACGGAACATGCAGGCATCCCTAACTTTTAACTACATGCAAACATCCCAGTATTTACCTGCGAGACATTTAACTTGTTTTGAAATGAGTGATTTTTTAAAAAAGCCCCCAAATAACCATGTTGCTCTATAATTTCATAAAAATGGGGGGCCACACACAACTCTAACCATTGCGCTGTGTTAAACCCACCCCAAAATGTGATCTTTTTAAAACCCATAGGAAAATAATTTCGATACAGGAACTCCATTTTTGGTTTTCAATTTAAAAACTGTAATAAAGAATGCGCAACAGAACTCTGTTACAAAAAATCACATTAATCAAAGTGAAAACCCGACCTCCTCTAAATGATTTTTTTCCCTCAAGTAGCAAAAAAAAAAAATTCCACTTACACATATAACCAAATGTTATTTAATATCTTAAAAAGTAACACAATCCAAAATGGATATTTCACACAACACTACATAAACAACATGAACACAATATTACCATATGGAGGGACTTTCAAATATAGACTTACAAAAATCCCTGTCCTTTTTTTTTTTCCTTTTAAGTTATTATACTAAGCATGACAAGGAAGCATCATTTACAATATGGTACACGGACACGATAAAAACCATGTTACAAATGTGCTGTTAGAAATCAGGAACATTAGGGAAGACGTCTCATGAACTGCAGCTATTTCATATGAAATACTATACAATATAAACAGAACATCCATCCTGGATGACCTTTACAGCAACCAGAGACCGAGTCATTTAAAGGTTTTTTGTTTTTTTTGTTTTTTTTCAGTGCAAAAACATTTTATTCAAGGCAGTCTTGGCTGCAAAACTCCTTCCTAACGTACAGTAATTCCCACTTGCACTTCTTAGTTTCATTGGCCCTTAATGGAATGGTCACATTCAAGTCGCTCAGAGAAAGACACCTGCAGAATCGGGATCCCTTGAAACTCGGATGCTCAAACTGAATTCTTCTCCAGAGAGTGGGACGGATGTCACTGCTCTAAGGACTTTTAATCTGTAGCTTTCGATACGTACGTGGAGGTGACCCTAGGGCAGTTTGATTCCTAACTGGGCATGCGTGCACAGTACTGCACGCTATTCTGTTCTTCCAATGTGGAAACAGTGGTGGTGTAGGTAGCAAGGTGGGGGAGGGCAAGGAGGAAGAGAGGGTGTTCCTCGGAGGGAAGGAAAAGTTGGGGCTGCCGAGAGTTTTCTGTGTGATGGATTTCCTGGAGCTGTAGAGGACTGGCATTGGAGAGCTCGGGTCTCAGGCTTGATACCTCTTTTGGGCGAGAGCCAGGGAATGGAGGTACCAAGTTCAGCCTTTGGACAGGGAGGTAGGCAGGTGTACAAGGACCAGCCAAGCGCTAGGCTTCCATTTTTGCCTTCTAGAGCCATGGATGCCTCGCTTGCCAACACTTCCTCGTTCGCAGGGCGTGTGTGTTCTCAGGGTGTGTGTGTGTGTATGTGTTTGCAGGGGTGTGTGTGTGTTCACACGCGAAGCCAACAAGGAGCGTTTCGAGGCCTCTGACTGCCCGCATACAATGACAAGAAGGCTTAGTTCCCCCTTGAGCTTTGCCGAATTCTAAATTCTGCAAGTCATCAACTGTTAAGTCTATGAACAGCAGTGAAGACACAGAAGTGTGTGTGGGAGGAGCCACCACGGGGGAGCCCCTCTGCATTGCTGATGCAAGACCAGGGAAGGGGACAGACGCCAAGCAGGGAGACGCCAGTACCTTTTACAAACACATGAGATCTAATAATCAAATGTCTCATATGTATAATTTATGAAACGTCTCCTACAGAAAACTCCGTGGGAAAGTGTCAGTTATATCGTTAATACTAAAACACCTTCAGAGAATAACGGCCAATTGTTTTCTATCTCTTGGCCAAAGTCAGAGGACAGCAATGCCTTTCCTGACATTTTTAACTAACCCAAAGAACAATGCCTCCCATGGCTTTTGCGCTCATTGTTCTTGTTTCTAGCTTCCTCAAGCCTTAAACATGGGCCAAGGAGTCCCTCACTCACAGGACATTACTGGATGGCTTTGACAATGGGTGGGGAGGGGGGATGGGCGGACAAGGAAGCAACCACTTCTACTTGGGTCCACTGTGGTCTGACACTACACAGCTAGTTAGATCTGGGACTGGTCTGTGGGAATGGAGAAAGCAGGCGTCAAAGACCTTCTGTCTCATCGTTTGAGAAAACACTTGGAACTGGACCAGCTTCCCAGATCTTGCGAAGCAGGGCTTTGTATACTGTGGTGAACTTTACTGAGCTGAGCACTGTGCAGAGTGCTTATAAAGACTTTAAAATAACAAAACAAAACTAAAAACTGTTTCAGCACCTTCCACTGCCTGGAACAGCCAATGTTCCTGATGCTGGGGTTTACAGCAATTACAAAAACCCAATAAGAAACTGTAAACAAGTGTGGATGTCTGGGTTGGCCTTGAACGGCAAAGACCTTGGTGTGGATTTGGTCATCTCCCACTTCCTAACTCAATACCAGCAATTTGGGTGGAGGTGCTGAGATTCCAAACAGCCATAACTCTTTGAATGAAAATGGACAAGGTGTCAAGCTGAATTTGTTTTCTTTATTAGCACACATCAGAAAAATAGCATTGTAGTGATTTCTCATGATGGTCTCTCCAACAGATAGAAAATAGGTCCCTGGTAGCTGCCACTGTGTTTCTGGGTGACCGTGAGTCACTCCATCTGTTTGCCCCTGTCAAGCACGGGGAATCACACACAGGACCTGCTCCGTGTAATTGCACATCTAACGCTTTGGAAGCACTTTGAGATCCCCAGATGAGCTGCGTAACATTACTAGTGGTTAACTGTTTGCCTAAACTCAGAATGCTACCCCTTCCAAATGTTAAGACATTTCCCAAAAATGATCGCTACAGTTTTGTGAGAATTATGCCTTTTCATTCAAGTTACAAACTTTATCTTCAAGTACATTTGGTGGACAAGTGGTAAATCCTGGGTAGAACTTTACGAAGCTATGTCAACCTAAAAGAATAACCCTTTCCTACGGGCCACCATTCTAGTCTCGGTGGTGGCTGCGAAAGATTTTAGATGTGCATTTTAACAATAGTGGCTGAGTCTTTGAAAAAGAGACGCATTTGGGAACAGCTGGTGTTCAAATCACTGCTCCTCCAGATCCCCTTTCGATTTATAGTCCCTGAACTCGGATTCTTCAACATCAAAGGCTCAGGCATTTGTCATTTCTCTCCAGCTAGTCTCCTTCCAGCGCTCCTATTTCTGTTCTCTATTGGGTGCACAAACACACTCCCTTTCACACACTCATTAAGGTCTCCTGAGATGTGCAAAACACACCAAATGGTATACAAATTATTTAACAGACATCTCAGAATGCACGGCACAGCTCTTTTAATAAAAAAGGAGGTTTGGGCTTCATAGGGTAGCATATCAAAACGGCAGAGAGGCCCAAAGTGCTTCAAGTTGGCAGTTCAAATTTTTCACGTCTTTTGTTACCGAAAAAAAAAAAAAAGCCCTAGCAATCCAATCCAATTTTTAAAGAAGTTAATAATTTCTCAAATGTTTACCAAGTAGCTCTTTGCCAAAGAGGACCTTCCTTCCTTCCTTTTTTTTTTTTTTTTTTTTTTTTGTAGCAGGAATGGAAGAATGGGAAGACAATAATTTTAGAAGATTTTAAAATGTCATTCACTTGTAACAAATCAAATGTGCTTTCACGGGGCAGAAAGGAGAGAGAAAGAAGACAACAGGTTTACAATTGGAAGCCACAGCGTGGTGTGAAAGAAAAACCACGGCAGTGCGAAAGTCATGAGTCCAATGGGCAAGTCACGGACACACAGGGAACACCATGGCCTACCGCGGAAGCGTGTTTTCAACATTGCTTTTCTGAAGAACACACTTGAACACACTGCTGCCATCTCATCAAATTCATGGAGGTAGTTATATGTAAAAATAAAAATTACCATAAAGTAATATGCTGTATCATAATAATACATATAAGTGTGCAAAATGCCGACAGATGTGTTGACCCTTTAAAGTTGAATGCCTCACAGAGATTCAACCAGATTCAGTTTTGTAAACCTTTCCATTGATAAACGCTAAGACTAGACATGCAGTCATGTAACACAAAGCTAGCTTCCAGTGGAGAGGAATATTGGCAAAGCCTAGGGAGGGCTTCCGGGCTGTGGGCGTCAAGAGTCTCACCATCTTGATGAGGTCAACTTAGACACACAGACTTGTCATGTCTGTCATGTGCTTCCCACCACCAATGTCCCTCCATTCAAGAATCCAGATTAGAAACACACAGGAGTGTTTCTCCGTGGAATATCTGTTTATGTGGCATATCATCTTTGAAGTCCTTCGTTCTATGCTAATGGCTGCTGGTTAAGGGAGGGTCTTTTGTTTCTTTCTGAAATCATGTACCCCATAGTGATTAGGCAAATAGCGTACACATTTTATTTGAACAACGTCTTCTGTAAACCTATTTCTTGCAAACCATCAAAATTCATGTCTTTAAAGCTTCTTCTCCTGAACAGAATTCTGTCCTTGCTGCTCACACAGTACTAGATTCCTTCAATGGCTATGTCCAGAGTGTCTATCAGAGTCTAATGTATTGTTTGAATGCTCCTATTATTAACAGACTGAGTATGCCAAAAATTGGGAAAAAATTAATTTAGACAGACCAGATCTAGGAATCATACGGCATACAGCTCCTCAAGCAAAAAGACTGTATAGAACACCAGATCCATGGCTGCTCATTCTGGAACGTGGACACATGGTTGCTCTCTCTGGACATACTTAAGTCATGAGAGAAACAATGTGTTTTTCAGTAAAGGTGGCATGCCTGGGGGGAAAGAAGGTATGGGATTCAAAACCCAATTGGCTTAAGCATTTCAATGGCATAGCAGTATACTGCCCACTGTGCTTAAGCCTTACTACAAGAAGCGCACATAAGCAAGGTCTTATACCAAAACTGAGGAGCCCAGTTTGAGCCAATGCAGCTTCTGTATAGCAGGGCAAAATGTGAGAGACTTTCCCACGACTTCACATGACTGTGTTTCCTCAAACACACTGCTAGTGATTAAGCCTAACACAGAAAAAGAAACCTCTCACAGATTTATGCTCACTACTGAGATCTTGGCTGAAAATGCTTTACATTGATTTTATTTATTTATGAATCAATTTATGATCCATGGCTCCAAAAAGCACCATCCAACACTAAGCTGAATAAAACTTCATGTCAGACCATCTACTGGGATCAGAGGTAACCCTGGAGTAGATGGCTTTCCAGTGCCTACAGACGTAGGAATCCTATGGTATACATCATCTTCTGTATACTCTTCTGTCGAAGCGGGCCTTACTTGTAGGACTGAAGTGTATTGGCTAGTGGTCCCCCCACTGTGGAGCCTTTTGATACTGAGCATGCCACTGCAAACCAAAGTAGAGTGTGAAGAAATCATCTTAAAAGATGCGGAGTGAGTGAGCCCACGGTCCACCTAAAACACGCCTCCTGAAATCGTTACAAGGTATCTGTAAACATTACTCTGGCATAGTTCATGGATTCATAATCATCATTCTGATAAATTTTAGGGGAGTACAAATTAAGGATATACCATACCAGCGGAATGAGGACATTCTGCTGTTTCTTATATGGGTCCATGTACACTTCTAATCAAAAATTACTTTAAAGGATTTTTTTTTCTATAGATATCTTCCCAGGAATAAAAGGCCTGAAGTTCAACTCTCCCTAAATTTGCTCTTTCCTACGACCACTAAAAATGATCTCCCACAGCCTAATTTAGGCATTCTATTTAAAACTACATAAAATAGATTCATGTCCCTTCCATTAGAAAGAATAACACCCTCGGGCCACATTCTTCATCTGTATCATAAAGAACATTTCTGCTTCCAAACAAACTAACCACTGCATCTACGATAGGAAGAAAGCGCATCCCAGTGTCACAAGGAGGAAAGCATCCCTTCTTCAATATCTGATTCAGCCCTCCTGAACGTCCACACCACCTTCTCCGCCACTCAGTGCCGTGCCCAGCGCGACTGGATTCCCCTTCCTCTGTCCACTTCAAAGGCCTAGATTCCCATCTGTGACCGTGGAAGGTTAAACAACTCAAGACAAGCATCGAGTGCACTGGAAAACAGAATCCTGAAAACAAACACTCTAAGGACTTCCGGCGGGACCCTTTCTGACACGCTGCCATGGGCTCCTGCAAGAGTGTCGTGGAAACTCACAGTGAAAAATGGCTGGCGCCTAAAGGACTCACACACAAAGGGCTGGGGTCCCTGCTGCTCAGTTTGGCATCGATTTCTCTCACGATGGAGACCCTTACGTTTACATTTTATGGTGACTTGGCTTTTTTTAAAAGGGGGGGGGGGGCGGTTGTCAAGGATTAGTTCCCTGGCCCCATTCCCCATCGGCTGGGAGCAACACACATCTGTGGCATTTCAAAATGGAATTGGCAACTGCATGACGCTGAAAAATGCATGTTCCACTTAACAGTGTTTAGACTTGCCTATGTGTGTTCAGGTACAGTTAGTGAAGCAGAAGTATACATATCTCCCCTACTGCTATTCGGTTGCTACAGAGCCATAAATGTGAAAAGCAATACTCTGAAATAAAGATTTTTTTTTGTTTTTGCCCTAGCCTACTTAGCAGCACAGCTCAAGTGACCCCCAAGCTGTGCGCTGTGCGTGAGATGTTTGTCTTTGCAGAGATGTAAACGTCAGCCCCAATTCTCGTAAACGTTACTGTATCGGACAAGACAGAAGGTCTGAGGCAGAGGGACACTCATACACTAGTAACAGAAGCTTGCAAGCAGTTGGAAGGTTTCTGTAATTTCTCAGCTTCGTTGGTCGGGGGATCCGTACTTGCACGGAAGTTGAAGGTTGGACCAGCTCCGCCATGGGCCGGACTCAGAGCAGGATTCTGACGGCGGTTGCTTTCAACAATGCTTGATGTGTTGGAAGCCAGGCTCTCCCGAGTGCTAGAAGAGTAAAAAGGGGTTGGTTTTTGGTTTTGCTTTGAACATAAACAATTACATATTGAGCCCAGAAGGAAGAGCAAATGACGGAGCTAATGGATTTCCTGTTGGTTCGTGAAGCCTTATCAGTACGCATCTCCACTTATGATCTGCAGGTATCCTTCCAGCCCAGGCCCTGGGAATCATGGGAGACACGAACCGCAGCTCACACAATAAGGGGCTTCTGACTACCAAATGTGTGGCTTCCCTGTCTTTACGAAAAGGACTTCAAAATATAATGTGACAGACGACCATCACACTGGCTTTGACAAAGAATATGCATACCTGTGTGATGGTTTTGCCAAAAGCTGAGAATTCAGACTTCATGGCTCTCGAATAAACTCCATAATTGGACGGTAAGATTCCACTGTTTCTGTTGCTTTTGGTTAGATGTTAACGTGGTGGGTGGACTTCAATTATGCCACTAGCTGACTTCCCCACAGGGATAGGAATGCAATTATTTGTAAATACTTTATACCCCTGTCTCTATTTTAACGCTTCCATTAAAACACAATTAATATGTTCAGATAAAGAGCATCTCCCCTTTCCCATTGATTTGTGAAGCTGCAATTCGTTCCTGTCTCCCTTTGGTAGGATATTTTCATTTCTTAAGGATGGGGTGATCTTTAAAACTTCATTACTTCTGCTTAAGTTTTCCAAGTTGGAAGTATTTGAATCTTTCTTTCGCCGAAAAAGGAGATTTAAAACATTCACGTTTGAAAAGTCAGGACAACAGCAGAAATAACGTCAGTCACAGACAGAGAGGGAGGGAAAGGGGATGGTATTTAAGATCCTCAAGGTGACTTAAAAAAATGTACCCACTTACACAGAGCGGAGAAATCAAAACCATTCTCAAAACACCTACCCCACTGGCTGGATTAAAAGTTCACCTAGTCTCTGTACCAAGTCGAAGCCAGCTAAACCTAGCTAGCGTGTGAGCAACCACAGTCAAGACACCGCCTCCTCCCTTAGCAGTCACTTCCAACGAGGCATTTAATCCTGATCCCTTAGCAACCCGCGTCTAGAACCCAGGAATTAAATGTTTAAAAGGCAATATGTTCGCCGACTCTCAACCGATCAAACAAACAACAACAATAACAAAACCCCCAATACTCGTTCTGAATGTAGAGGATTAATGCACTTAACAAGCTAAGCCAAGTTTCCCCACCAAGATTCTGGTTAGATGGGCGTAACTAAAGAATGCTACAAAATGCCTCTTAGGAAAGAAAACACCTGACTTACCTGCTTACATGCCTGGCCTCTTTCTCCAGAAAACCCATCAGAAGTTCTCCCAGAGCTGGGTCTGAGATGTGGGGGTCAGTGGAGGAAGGATGAGGGCAAAGGACATTTCATTTACTGCACTTTCAGTCACAGTAGTGACTTTAAAAAAAGATCTACTTAATGTGTGTGTGTGTGTGTGCACGCGCGCTATGGCATGTGTGCAAAGGTCAGAGGACAGTTTGTGGGAGTCATTTCTGGTCTTCCCTAAAATGGAACCTGGGCATCAACCTGAGCTCTCAGGCCTGGTGGCAAGTGTCTTTTACACACTGGCCTATCTGGTCCATGAGAATAACTTTTAAGGGCATCTCACTTCCTCGGGTCTATAGTGGAGGGAATTGTGCTGTGATTTACCTACTTACAGGGTGACCGCGGAAGAGAAATAAGCACTGAGGTACTGGCACATTAGAAAGCTAGGGAAGCGCTGTTTCTGTTACACATCTATTGCAGACTCATTTAAATAACAACTGTAGATCAGCTTGGGAATCTAATGATCACTCATGGCATTTTTTTTCTATGGAAAAATGAATTGTAGGGTCCAAATGACCTATTTTTTTTAATAGCTTTTGAAGAATCAGTCTATCATTTATGAAGCGTCTGCTGTATTCTGTACAGTGTGCTTGGAACTAGAAACATAAATCATTCCAACATGACACGTTAGTTAAGAGATGTCTTTGCGAGACACCTTTGGCCACCTTTGAGCTGCATCCAGTGCACTCGTAGGGATAAATGTGCACAGTAATCCAGTTTTTGCAAAGACTATATTTCATGACAGTTGGAATCATGAGCGCCGTCTGTGACATTCGTACGGAGGGATCTGGAGATACTGACGGACAGCTAACATTTATGGCAAATATGGCAGTAAAATACTTCTCAAATTTAATTTGGAAGAGAGAGCAAATAATAGAATGCAACCATTAAAATGAGCTATTTGAGCCAGAAGCCATGGTGTACACCTTTGATCCCGGCACTCAGGAGGCAGAGCCAGGTGGATCTCTGTGAGTCTGAGGTCAGCGTGGTCTACAGAGCAAGTTCCAGGGACAGTCAGAACTGTGAAGAGAGATCATGTCTCAGAGAGGGAATGAAGGGAGGCTTAGGACTTCTTAGGTAGGGGGAGAGATTCACTAAGTGTTCCTGCTATTCATCCTCTTTCCAGTACAGGCTTTCCAGAGCACACGCCCATGGCAGCGCGTTGTGTCTCTGGTAGTTGTGTTGATGTTGCTCAGCCAATTTGGGGGTCTCACATTTGAAACTCTTCAAGACTTTTCATTTCAATATAACTTCTCACACACAGTTCAAGTTTCTATCCTTTTTGGGTTCTCTTTGTTTGTTTGTTTTAAATACTCTTTAGTTTCCAAAAAACGGGACTGAAAACGTGGCTAAAGATGATGCCCAGGTCAACGCCAAATCCTTCAAGTGTAGAGAGAAACCATTTGTCTCAGGAGAATCATAATTGCTTAGTGGCCTGTTTTAAGGGAAGATCCCCACAGATAACTTAAACTTCACGCTCCTCGTGGTAATGGAGCAGCAACTGCACAGCAGTGTTATTTCACCGGGTGCCACTCACGGTGAAAGCACTGGAAGTCCGGTGTTCTCTTTTGTTCTCTCTCATGCATAGAAAGGCAGCTTGGTGAACCTTAAAGTACACAGAAAGCAAGCCTGTCACCCCATTTTTAACTAAAGGGTTTTCACTATAAAACAGGAAAATTGGGAATTCTTGAATGGACAACCTGCCTAAAATTTTTGGAAGATTTATATTTTCCCGGAAAGGAGATCCAATTCAAGTACTAGACAGACCTATGGCTAGTGGGTTAGAGTTCTCTCTCTCTTTAGAATTGATGTTTCCTTCTACAATGGCAAGGCATTTAAGTACCTATTTTAAAATGAAAACAAACTTCTATAAGCTACCCACGTATAAATTCTACGCTACACAGCTCAAGTTTCAAGATAATATATTCTTTGAGGACCCTGGTTCAACTATCTCATGGGTACTTCTTTTCATCCCTAAACAAACAAAACTTTTCAATATTATAAAGGGTTAGGAACCACTCACTCCCAACATCCCCTTGATAACAGTCTTGGGAGTGCCACTATTTACCGCTGAAGTCTGAGTGCTGAGGGGCAACGTGGAGGGCATGAAAGTACAACAAGAAAAGCATTAGGCAGAGGAGTCTCCACGATCAGAAATAATGAGTATAGAATACAAGCAAGTAAGCCATCCTTTCTATAAGAAGTGGCTTTGAACTTTTACCACAGACCTCTGATTATCTGCCTCCTACTGCTAGAGTTTCCAAGACAGGAAAAGACACAGAACAGGAAAATCAGTGGCCAAGGACAGAGACACTAACTGGAAAATAAAATCTGGTGTGGGAGGGGAAAAATTTAGCAAAACAGATTCTTTTAAAAAGGCCAGGGCACTGCTCCCCAGGGTTTCCTGAGGATCCTTAATGCACTCAGAGGCCCGGGCTCCTGGATTCCCCAGCCCTTTTCCAGAGTGCCAACTCTGATAGATGTGTGTTAGACATTGGAACTTCCATTTCTGGGTAAACGTGAGGTGAAAAGGTTACATAATCAAAATAGTAACAATAACAAGTCAAGAACTGTGTCCTTCAAGAAACAGCAAATGCCCAATTATGGAGTAAATATTATAATGATCCCCCAAGTCTGACTTTGAGATGCAATGTGTCCCCAAGCAGCCCAGCAATAGAGTGCAACAATCACAATGGAATGAATCGCAATTCTTAATAACATAAGTGAGCGTATATGAAGTACCTATGTGGGTGCTTATTGTGATTATAAATGCTATCATGTCGGAAATCAGAGGTGATGGGGGATACGCATGTCTGAGTAGCATTTCTGCGCCTTAGAGTCACCAATCTGGAGAAGAGTTTAGAAGCAAGATTTAGGTTCCAAGTGGCTGTTTAAGGAGAAGAAAGAGTTACGGAGAAAAACAGGAGCTGGGACGTCCCTGGGTTTGTGTTTGTCAGCCCTAAACAACCTCAGTGCGTTGACGAGGACCATCGGGTCTTATCCACTCCCAATGGTCAGTACTGCTGAACTAGCAAAGACTACAAAACGACAGTGTCCAGACACGGTCAATTCTACGGGCAGGAAGGCGAGAGCGCCGGCAAGTGTTTGCTCTCACAGAGTGTGGCCCCTAACTTTCGTGAGAGGAGCAAGCTTCTATGTCTCCATCCACACACAGGTGAAAGAGGAAGACATCCGAGCAAGCAGAACAGACAAGGCACGGCATAGGGATTAGAGTGGTACCAAGCTTTTAGATCCTTTGGAAATATTGTAAAGCCCATTACTATAGTCTCACTAGAGGGGCCATTATGTTAGCATCGATTTTATACCCAACCCTTTCTTCCCAATGACTATATTATTTGTACTCAGAAAGTTACTTTTTTTTTTTTTTTTGAAGGATTAAAAAAAAAAAATCCCTTTTCCTGGAATTACAAATACAAATAGAAGAAACCGCTGGGAGTGTCGGTCTTAGTCTTACTAGACTGAGGCCAGAATTCGGGAAGGGTAACCAACCCACCAGTCCAGATTGGTGATCTCTACAGCTGCAGAAACATTTTTTTTTTTCAATTCCTGAAAAAGAAGTTAGAAACAGGTTGTTAACGACGACACAAGTCACATAACCCACAGCCCTCATTCACAGCCGGAGACTGAAGTCAGCTATCTGCATAAAAGCCCCCGGGGCCCTGGCGGGTGTGAGAGGATGTCGAGGAACACCTCTCCCTACCGTGGGGAGTTGAATCCACTGTCCACCGTGATGCTGCTACCGTCCATGCTGTCCAGGCGAGCGGAGTGGGTGGCTCTCTGGTTGCTGCTGCTATCAGTTTCTTTTGGGGTGAGGAGGGTGAGGTTCTTCTCAAACTTCCTCTGCAAATCCCGTTCCTTCTCCCTCTCGAGGAGCCACTGCATGGTGCCCACATCATCTCTGTTTTTCTCCTCCTCTGTGTTTTTGTTGGCCCCTTCCTCAGAGTCGTCATCATCGGAGACATTGTAATAGTCAAAAGAGGCCTCCTGGTTCCCTCCAGACTCCGGTTGACGCTGGGACGGGGGCACGGCTTGGGCCACGGATGTCCCCAGGGAAGGTTCCAGTTTTTCGCATCGGCCTGGCAGTGTGTCAACAGGTGACTTCGGGTGAGATTTGAGGAGGGACAAGCTGGATTTGTGATAGCTGTTTACAGACAAGGTGCTGTGTAGGGGTTTGAACAGTGTGTCCTTGCTGAATATTTCTTTCCTTTTGTCCAGGCTGCTGGGTTCCGCGCTATGATGTTGGACCAGGCGCCCATTGGCCAACCCCTCTGCCACACCACCAGAGGCAGCGGGGCCCCCACCTGGCCCTTTCGGGGACTCCTCCTTGTGCCCAACAGGTTCCCTGGAAGAATGAGGGGTCTGCCTCTCAGACGGAGACAGCTTTTTTACCCCCTCCACCAGGGTCAACGTGTCATGGTCCTCTTTATTCTTCCCCAGAGGTGACGGCGCCGTGAGCACAGTCTCGCTAGAGGTGTTGCACTGGAAGTAGTCATCCACAGCTGTTTTTGCTGGGCAAGGGCTGAGTTCCCCATAGGACGGCATACTCTCGGAGGGTTTGCCTGGCTCCAAAAGGCTACAAGCACTAGAAGGTTCCTTGCTGCCACCGACTATTTCTGGAATGCACACCTCTTTATAACTGGCAGAGGATATAAGAGCCCTTTGGTGACCAATAGTCTGCGCAGGCCGTAAGGTACTGTCGTCAATGTAGGACTGGCTGGGGGTCTGGTCATCTTGGCTGCAGCCTTCAACCAGGTCTTCCGGAGTCCCGAGAGAAGAAGCGCCCAGGGGGCCTTTGGAGTTATCCATGGACCTGGATCTCTCCTTGGCCTTGTTGGATCTCTCATTCCTGGACCTCCGGTCCTGGGTATGGCTGTGGCTTCGGTGCACTTTGGAGTGGGAGCTTCCCCTGGAAGGTTCGGGAAAGGGCATCTCCGTTCTCCTTTTGGCCAGTTCGCCAGACACATCCCACTCGGGCGTCATGGGGAAATGGGACTCGATCACGTTTGTGTTGCTGTGCATGATGAAGCTGTCGCCTTTGTGTTCGATGATGAAGCAGCCCTCCCTGGGGGCCCTGGTTAGGGGGTCGCAGAATTCATACTCCCTCTCGCCTGGGATATCCAGATGTGAGCCATCTGAAGGATCACCTTTCGACACGCGGGTCTTGCTGTGGGACCGAGACTTCCCGTGGGACTTTCGGTGAGTCCGGCTCTTTTTACTCCGCCCACTGTGGTGGGCAGAGGACCCGGCCTTGCTCCGGTGAGCCTTTTCCTCTTCAAGTTTCTTCATCAGTGCCGTGTGCCTCATGACATTTTCCACTGTCAAGTCCGGGTTGATACGCCGTATGATCTCCATCTCCACCTCCCGGGGGATGGTCGTGGGCGTGTCCTCGTCTCGCAGGGGCCACTCCTCGGGAGGAAACTGGGCAGAGAAATTGGCCAGCTGTTTGGTCTTGTCTTTCTTAAAACTCAGCCGGAATAACTTGAGGCCAAATTTTTTGGACTGTTTTTCACCATCTTTAGGTTTCGAGAGAGTTTCTGTCTTATAGGAGAAATTGATAGTACTTTTGCTTTTTTCAGTGGGCGGCACCTGGCACAGTGGAGGAGGGCAGTAGGGGTCTTTGCAGTCCTTGGCGGGTTTCCTCTGCAGAGTGGAGGCATGCATGCTGTGCACGTCTTCTCGGCAGCAGTGGCAAGAGTCGCAGTGCTTTCTGGGTAATGTCCTTTCCCTGACACAGCCTGAGGCAGAGGGCGTTATGGTTCCCGGTTGTGGAGAGGTACACTGAGACCTGTCAGGTACCCTCTCGTCCAAGTGGTACCACTTACTGTTAGTTCTTATGAGGGAAGGCGTGATAAAGTAAGTTTGTGGGGTCACAATGAAATAGCCTTCTGGAGTCGGGTAGATTTTCCTCTCCCGTACCAGTGTGTTTAGGGTATGCCGTAGGATTTCTTGGCTTGGGGTTGGAACACCTACGGGCAAGAACAGAGATGTTTGTGAGAGAGAAGAAGGGACAGGAGAGGACCCCTGATTTTCAGAGTCCAGTGGACATTGCCAGATTTGAAGTACCGCCCCAGGGCATGGAAGCAGGCTTCAGAAGTGTTTGCTGCGTTTAGTGTGAACCCCGGTTTTCCTCTGATGACTCCTGTGCATGGTACCACCTGGGGAGTGAAAAGGTGTTAAAATGGGGAGCACTGGGGATGCAGATGCATGCTAGAACGCTTTGTCCAGCACGCGTGAGACCTTGCTTGGATCCTGAGACCACACCAGGAAAATTGCTGCTGCAGGAGAGAGAAGGAAGTTAGACAGACTTCAATGCACTGCTAAAAAGCCTTTCTTGAACATCTTGAAAGAGAGACTATTTTATAAAGGACAAGAAAATGAAAAGTTTCCCATGCAGTGACATAAATTTATGGCATTTTTTCCAATAAGAACATCATACATACATATATGATGTTCTTATATATAAATATATATACTTTATTATGTGCCAATTTTTAAAAGATTAAGTTAAATTAAAACTAACTTTTATAAATTTTATAAAAGGGTATTTGACTACTCCTCTTTAAAACTTCTTCTAATTTTGAGATTATAATTCCATTTCTCCCTTTCCTTTCCTCCCTCCAAGTCCTTCTGTATACCGCGCCTTGCTCTTTTTCAAATTCACACCTTCTGCTTTTATGAATAATTATTATATGAATGTACATATATATGCATATGCATACACTTAATAAAAGCCACTTGGTTTATAAAATGTTACGCCCATGTATGTTTTCAGAGTTGACATTTGTATTGGGCAAATAATTGGGTGTTCTTCCCTGACAGACACAATTTCTCACATCCTTTAGTTACCCATAGCTATACCCCCAAAATCTCCCCAAGACTGCCTACACATGAATTGAACAAGGACAACAAGAGACATGCCGAAGTGGATGGGGGGGGGGGTAGGAGCACCATGAGAACTCTCAATCCCGCACAGAGGACTGAACCACTCTTCAACATGCCTTGTGACTTTGAAATCCATCACTTTGCATGTTGAAACTGTCTACTGCCATAGTTACAGTTAGATACGAGCACTGGTCTTGGCAAGAGTGAGCAGAGGGAGGTGGTTTTCCTAGTTTCTAACCATTGAGCCCTAACCCACACACTAGTGAATATACATGGAGACAGTCTTGGTTCGATCACCAAGTCCCAAATGTCTGCATTTGCTAGAACATAAATACAGGGGTGGGCGGGGCACGTGTTTCATTGTGCCACGGTGCACTTAGCTTGTCAGGGTATTTGTGTGAATGCTTAGGTCCTCCCTACCTGAAAGGATAAAAATCAGGAAGAGACATCCCTAGGAAGGTGCACCTCCTCCAAGCTGTAGGCCACTTCCTTTATTTCTTGGATATTCTGCATTTGCCAGTGTCAGGTACATGAAAGGGGTGGTATCTACAGAAATGATCTGAATGGTATAATCTAGAAACAGGCCAGATCAAACATATAAATACTGCCAACACTTGACCCACAAAAATGGCAGTTTCGCATGTCACGGTCGGAGCAGTACAGTAGACAATGGAAGCAAGCTTGGATGCCAAGGCCAGACTGTTAGATTGAAAGTCTTGCTGTCTTTGATAATGGTATTATTGGTCGAATTGTTCATTCCTTTTTCCACCTCATTCCCTACTGTAGTTTAGTTCTAGAATGTTCCCTAAAATTCCCGTGCTAAAAGCTTAACTCTTGGCTTGTTGCTATTGGGGTTTGATGGTACTTCTAGGAGGTCAAGTTTAATGGGAGGGTCTTTAGGTCAATGGGGCCCTTGATGGGCTCTGTGTGGCCCAGATCTCTTCCTCTCGCCTTTGCTCCTGGGCCGTGATCCTACCGCAGAAAGCAGACTCACCATAGACCTGAAAGGAACCAGCCTATCTAACCACAGGCTGAAACCTTTACAACTACGACCTTAAATGAATCTTTTCTTTTTAAGAGCTTTAATTGTTATAAGAAGTCAATGCCTCCCCGCCAAGTTCACACCTTACAATTCTCACTCCTCCAGTAGTCCCTCCAACTGTCCTTTGTTTGGAGCTAGGGTCTTTGCAGGAATAGTCAAGTTAAAATGGGGACATTAGAGTGGGCCACAGTCCATTAGGAGTAAGGCCCTTCTGAAAAGGGGAAAATGGCACAGCCAGAGGCATAGATGGAAGAGAGTGTGAAAAACACAAGTCAAAGATGGCCATGCACAAGTCAAGGAGAGCTGCTTGAGACATATGCTTCCCTCACAGCCTTCAGAAGGAAGCAGACATAGTGATTTGGATTTTTGGTTTCCAGAACCGTGCACTCCTTCGTGTTGGTTGATCTCATCTGTTATTATCAGCCCTCCCAGTGGTATCATTAAGGCAGCTGGTAACCTAGCCTCTGAGGCATCCATTCTCACAGAGCTGCTGGGAATGCACATGGGTTTGGGGCGTGCACAAGAGTGTGCGCCAGAGAGCAAGCTCTCAATACATGCCAGCCGCTTCTCTCAATTTTGGATCAAGAGCCATGGAAACCCAGGTTACCTTCACATGATGTGGTGCAGCAACCAGAACCGCTGGGTGAGCTGGGAAATCTGTGTGCCCTCGACCCTGCCAAACAACGAAAGTGGCATCTAACACATTAGAACTGGCGTTCTCAGGGAGAGGAAGCCTATGGGTGCAATGCAGCACCCACCTTTGGGGGACATCCTTAGCAAGGGGGAGAGGCTCACATAAAGCACCCACCCTTTGAGGACACCCTTAGCAAGGGGGAAGAGCCTCACACACATCATCTGGCTAAATGCAGTTAATCTTTTAGTTGCATATCTTGCTTTAATTTAGTGATCTATTTTTGATAAATGTACACTGAGTTTTTTCACAACTAAGTAGAAGACTGGTGTGACAAAGCTTGTTTTTAAATTCTTTGATACAGTGTACAAAATAGAAACTCTTTTTAACGGAATTCGTGATATTACTCCAGACCACGCAATTCTTGGGTGCCGCCGTAAAAGAAAAAATAGCTACACACAAGGTAAGTAACTTGAGAGGTTTTTTTTTTTTCATCCTCCTGCGAGCCAGAGCCTGCTGTTGAATGGCAGAAGACCCCATTCAGAACACGACTCCTAAGATGAGCACACACGCCGTACTCTGCTCTCAGGTGATGAAGCTGTGGGCACAATGCCCACACAACAAACCTGGCCTTAAAAAATCGCAATATTATGGTAAGTTTCTATTATAAAAACCCACAGGTTTTTTTTTTATTTATATATAATTAGCAGGGAGTAATGGCTCATGCCTGTAATCTCAGAAGTCATCAGGAGGACTGAGTGAGTTCGCCAGCCTGGGCTACATAGAAGTTTCTGATCAGGCTGGGCTACATAAAGAAACCCTTTCTAAAATGGAAAAAAAAACAACACATGATTAATTAATTTACCTTGACTGTTACTAAAGAAAGGTAAGTTATACTTCTTTTTATTTGCTCTTAAGTATGTGTGTGTGTGTGTGTGTGTGTGTGTGTGTGTGTGTGTGTGTGTACCAAATACGTGTGGGTACCCGCACTGGCCAGAAGAGGGCTTCAGATCTTCTGGAACTCAAGTATCGAGTATCAGCCTAACATGTGCTCTGAGGACCCAGCTTGGGTCTCTGAGAGGAGCAATGAGCATTCTTGGCTGCCTAGCCAGCTCTCTAGTCCATGAATCATATTAAGAGCAATCATTACTGCTGGTCTTGGAAAACCCGTAGATTATACAAAATCATGGCCATAACATAATATGTGCTAATCACCATTAAGAAAACTTTCTCTAGCTCTTCCTCAATGATAGTGCTTTCCATGCCTGGGGATTCTCAGCGACACCAGTCAAACAGCGTTTACTCGGAAGACAGAAACCACAAGCACGTTCTCCCTTGCCATCCAATCTGTTTCACACTTCCACCTGGGCTTTTCTGGTTCAACTGAAAGTTGTAAAAACTTATGCTTGTTACCGTTAAGTCTTAGTATAGTAACTGATGTTTCTAGCCCTCAATCTCACCTTGAGTTCTACCAGACACTTGTGGGGTTAACCTGACAAAGTGAGGCTCACCTGCATGCTCCACCCTTTCAGATTCTGCACCAGCAGTTTCTGGCGAATCAGGATTTGCGGAGAACAGAGACAAGCTCTGCATTCTAACCGAGCTAAAGCTGGACGGACCGCTCTCCCTTTCCCACACCTTTCATCTTTCAAAGCAAAGGTAGATATTTAAAGCTATCGCATGGCTATGTGGTGTTTCGTGGAAAGTAGGTATTTAAATCAATCGCACGACTATGTGGTGTTTCTTGGAAGCACATTTTGCTTTGCTCCTTCAGATCTGATTGGTTCTCAGAACAGAGTACACATATGTGTGTTCTTTGCTAGGCAGTTTGGATTAAAGGCACTTTCATTCTGGGGTAAGACCTGTGCACGTTATTCAGTCTAGCCTGGAACTGATAGGCTCAAGCAATCTTTATCCATTACCTTCATTAGTTCCTGAGACTACAGGCTCGTGACTTCACGTCCAGTGTTAGATTGATTGAAATGCTTAATAATTCTATTATTATTTTTATTTGTGAAGAATGCTGGCTGAGTGAGAATTCCGAACGACGAGACAGAAAGAAAACATGGAATGGGCATGCTAACATTCTGCAGCTGACGCTAAAGCCAGCTCCAACTCGACATGCTGCCCCACAGTCCTCCATGGCCCCGAAGTGAGTCGGCCTAGCATATACAGGGATTAGCCCAATGTAATTGAGCACTCATCCTGGATGGGTGGGTGAGCAGTTCTTTAGGAGAATGGAAAACAAGTATTCTTTTAAGATCTTTAGAAATAGTCTTAGGCTGAGGGTGTGGTTCTGTGGTAGGAGACTGGCTTGGCGTGCACAAGGCCCAGCAGGGCGATGGATCTCTCACCACACACACACACACACACACACACACACACACCATACATATCCTACACCACACACACACACACCATACAGCCCACCACACACACGCATGCACACACAGTCCACACCACACACACACCACACACACAGCCCACCACGCGTACACATAGTCCACACCACACACATACATACATACACACTACACACAGCCCACCCCATATACACACAGTCCACACCAAACACACACCATACACAGCCCACCACACATACACGTAGTTCATACCACACACACACGCACACACACACACACACACACACACGTGCGTGCGCACACACACTATATACAGCCCACCACATAGATAGCCTACACCACACACCATAAACACACACAGTCCACACCCCCACCTCTCCAAGCACACATGCACATGCAATTCTGTAATGGAAACTGGTACACAGAAGTCGCTGAACTTATATTAAAAAGACTCATCCTGCCATTTGTTTCTGGTACATTTTTACTCTTTGGAATACAAATGTCCGAAACGGTGAGAGGTCATATTTGAAATTATCCTTTTTATTTATAAAACATGCATCAAAAATAAGATTTAAAATACTTTAATAACACTGTTATATTTCAACATCTCTTTTTCAAATAATAAACTACAAAAAAAAGTAAATGCCCTTCCCTTTAAAACAAAGGTAAAAAAGAGGTAAACAGAGAGTTAAGAACCCTTTAGACTTTTAGTACTGTCATTGAAAATGGACTTTAATTTAAAACAATTTTAAATTCTCAGTGATGTTTTGTTCTGACATACCTGACGGAAAGCAACAAATAAAAGGAGGAGGAAAAGAAAAGAGGGCGGGGGACTGGAGAGATGGCTCAGTGGTTAAGAGCATTGCCGGCTCTTCCAAAGGTCCTGAGTTCAATTCCCAGCAACCACATGGTGGCTCACAACCATCTGTAATGAGGTCTGGTGCCCTCTTCTGGCCTGTAGGCAGACACACAGACAGAACATTGTATACATAATAAATATTTTTTAAAAAAAGGGGAGGGCAGGTAAGCCAAGGAAATCTCCTCTTTTAGGAAATACTAGTTACATATTTGGAGCTATTAAGCCAGGCATAATGGTGTACATCTGTAGAGGCAGGATGATAAAGTTCAAGGCCGGCGTGGTCTACACAGTGAGGCTGTGTCCCAAAAAATCAAAATTTTAAAACAAAACAAAACTAAAGGGAAAAAGTAACTGTTACTAAAGAAGAATTTCAGTAATTATTACCATGTCCTGGACCAGGGGTTGAGGGGCCAGTTGAATTGTAGGCTTTGTGAGTCATGTGACCTACGCGGCAGCTCCTCAACTCCCCTACATCCAAGGAGCAGAGGCTAATCCAGAGTTATCAGGGATGGCTGTGTTCTAATAAAACTTTATTCACAAAGACAGGTGCTACTAGGCTTTTGAAAAGCTCCACCTGTTGCAAAGTCTACATGGTGTTTCTGCAAATTTCTGGGTCTGGCCCATAGTCCCCAGTGCTACACAGATGGGAAACTTTAGACAGTGCCTCCTTACCATAAAACTTGGCAAAGCAGTTACTACTTTGCCAGGGATTCGTTTTCACTACAGTGTCTTGTAGCTTGGTGGCACTGTTTGTTGCTCAGTAGCGATGAGCATTTTACTACTGCGTACGGGCTCTGCATTCCTTCCTGGTTTACAGTCGTGGGACGCATGGACCCACTTCCGAGAAAGTCACTTGGCTTCTCGTGAAGCTGTGTAACTAACAGTCTGAAGAAGACTTTGAAAGCAGCTGGACTGTTTGCTGTCCGAAGCAGTGGCCTAGGTATACAGCAGAAGGGTTGTCCTGAACCACAGGGTGCTGTTTGCCAAGAGTATTGCCCTCTCTTACCTGGGGAGCTGCGTGTCTTACTACCAGTGGGGAAGGCATGCTGGGCAGCTAGAAAAGGGGGACAAACAGTGAAGAATGTTTGAAGATAATAAAATGTCCTAACATTTAAGATAATTTATAGGTTGCAAGTGTAGGTTGATAGCATATAGAATATAAAACACTGACATTGACAATGGAGAGAGAGAGAGAGAGAGAGAGAGAGAGAGAGAGAGAGAGAGAGAGAGAGAGAGAGAGAGAGAGAGAGAGCATGGTGGCCCACGCCTTTAATCCCGGCACTCAGGAGGTAGAGGCAGGAAGATCTGAGTTTGAGGCCCGCCTGGTCTGCAGAGCGAGTTCCAGGACAGCCAAAGCTACGCAGAAAAACCCTGTCTCGAAAAACTAAAAACAAAACAAAGCCAAAAAGAACCATAATCAAACAGAAACTTGAAGAAGAAAAACGGAAAAGAATAAAGAAAGGAGGGGGAAATTACTGGGAAGGAAACACATCGCTTGAGGCCAAAGAAAATGTAGAGAGACAAAGGGTGGTAGGTCATGTTCATGATCTTCTTGGGGTTGGTTCTTCTAGCCATTCCTTGTGTGTGTGTGTGTGTGTGCATGCATGCGTATGCTCATGCACACTTTCTACACCTTGGCTTCCGGCCAAGCCAAGATCGCTTCATCAACGCGTTAGAGCATAAGATATGACCAAGGGTCAAGGATTTTTTTTCCCCCCAAAGACAAGCAGTATAGGCAGCACCGGCCCACCTTTTCAGTCCCAGCCTACTCCCGGCACCCTTAGACTCGGGACCTAAGCAAATGCTTACTGTTGCTTGTCTTTAACTGTCTGGTTACTTATCATTCGGCACTTCTGTAGCCAAAGCAGATTCAGCCAACAGCACATATTACTGAAGTCTCTTTGAAAGCTGGATGAACATTAAGTAGATCATGCATTTATTTTTAATGTGATTTCTGTTTAAGTCTAGAAAGGGGTACAGTATTCACTAAGCGGGCAAACTGGCAGTCCCAAAAGGTGCACACTGCCCATCTACTTTACCTTTCTCTTTCTTTTCCTTTATCTATCTATCTATCTATCTATCTATCTATCTATCTATCTATCTATCTATCTATCTATCGAGACAGGCTTTCTCTATGTAAAAAGCCCTGGCTGTCCTGGAACTCTCTCTGCAGACCAGGCTGGCCCTCCATCTATTTACATGTTAAAATATACATGCACAGAAAATTGCCTGTACCTAAGGAAATTTAGAGATTGCACAGCAAACGGGATTTTGAAATTCTCTTGTAACACTAGACTTGGCAACTCCGGCAGGGGCCCAGCACTGGGGGGGAGTAGTGGGTCCCTCCATGGAGATGGGGCATGGGTGTTTAGTATAGACCACAGCAAACAGCCTGGTCACTGGAATCATCGGCAACCATCGACACCACAGCTGTACCCACTGTCTTCATTTTGTAATAGTTAAGGGGGGAAAAAAAGGCAATTTTTTTCTTTTAAAAACGAAGTCTCAATTCATGAAGTAACACTTTATTAAGGCTCCTCAGACCATAACACAAACATGCGAGGCATATCTATTTTAACATCATTTCTGTAGCTGAACTCCTGGGACTAAACATTGGCAGCTGTTTCTGATGAACCCCAAGTTCATATATTTAAGGAAGGCTGAACTGCAATGAATGAGTAGACTCTGGGTCATTCTCACCATTTCTTAATTTTTTTCCCCCTTAGCATCAAGTTAAACAGTATTATATCAAAATATAAAAGTAAATGAAAAAATAAATAAGAATAAAATAAAAAGCGCTGTACCTAAAGGAGTGACTTTGTGATTGTTATTATTTTAAGACACAGAAGAAAAGCATCTAGTTGGTTTGGGTGAAAGTTTTTTTTTTCCCCTAGTGTCCCTTTAAAGTCCTGGAGCCCACACCCCACACCCATAGCCCACGTCCATTTAGAGAGAATGCCATTCTCTCCCGTGTACCTGGGAAACACGTCGTCAGGTGTTCCATCAGTGCTTCTTGGGTGACAGGCTTCCTTGAAGAGTTCATTGCCGAGATGGCCAAGCAAAGGATTTCCCCGAGTGGAATAAACTGGGACTGGCTGATGGGGGACATACTGATTGGTGACACATCACCTGCAGAAAGATGAGTTTCAGGTGAGCGGGGTCATTAAAACACACCACCGTGGACCACATCCCGGCCTCCACCGTGCACACCCCCTCCCAGGACGACCCTGATCCTTGCACTATGAAGTCAATCAGTTTTGAATGCTGAAGCTTGTTGAGATCACAGCAGATTCCACTCGGGTGGAAAGACTTCCAAGCCCAGTGGCCGCTCTGATAATCTCAACAAGCAAAATTCTCCTTAAAAACCTGAGCTCTCATTTGAATAGTGAGAGTACTAACGTCTTGTAACAAATGAGGCTTTGAAGAAAAAAATAACTTCTGCTTTTAGTAGTATGGAGATGATTTAGGAAGCAACCACTGCTCACATTTCAAAAAAAAAAAAGTATTTGTGGTGAGTAAAGGTGATTCGTCCTTCAAATGTTGAGGGTCTTTATGTGCTGGGAATTTGCCAGATGAGTTGGGAGCTCACATGGAAAGAGAAGCGTCCCCTCCACAGCTGTCTCTGCCTTTGAACAGTTTTATTTAAGTGGAAGAGACAGCTACAGAGATCAGGGTGACAGGGCTGAGTGATGGGCGTAGAGCAGAGGACTGAGCAGTAAGCTCGGAGGATAATATGGGACAGCAGGATGTTTACCCTCTGAGGGGACAGTGGGACTCAGAAGCAGGGGACTAGAGGGTTCTTCTTAGGCTTTGAAATCTGAACCTGGTGTCAAGGGGCAGAGGGTGGCGGAGGGGGGGGGGCGGGGGCGGTGATGGGGATGAACTGGGGATGAGAAGAGCTACAAGCAAGTGTTTTTCCATGGAGTTGTAAAGAAGGGGCGCAGCTCTGCAGGAGCAACCCCACGGCCACAGCTAAGTGCTCAAGGCTCTCATCATATGAGGAAGAGTGAGCCTTGGAAGAAACAGAAAGCCCAAATAGCACAGATGTGGCTCTCATGAAGAAGGCCCTGAAGATGACCACATGGAAGAAGGCAGGGCAGGGCAGGACAGGGCAGATCAGAGTGAAGTAGAGACTATGGCCCTTAGTATGCATCTCTGCCAAAAGGGATGGTGGAGACTGGGAGGCTGAAAACCTAGCATTGAAGGGTCAGCACTCGTGTGTGTGTGTGTGTGTGTGTGTGTGTGTGTGTGTGTGCAGTGCCCAAGGAGGCCAGAAGAGGGCACTGAACCCCCTGCAACTGGAGTTACAGATCATTGTAAGCCACCCAGTGTGGGTGCTGAAAACAAAACTCAGGTTCACTGGAAGATCAGTACATGGTCTTAATGGCTGAACCGTCTCTGCAGCCCCAGCTCCCCGTTTTTTTTTTGTTTTCTTTTATTATCCCTTAAGCATGCTTTCTCATGTAATAAGCTAACACAGCTGGCCAAAGACAAGACTCCGGTCAGTTTGTAACATTAATCGATATCCTCTCCAAAACATGTTTGGGTGCCCTGAGGTCGACGGGCCTTCCTGCTGTCAGGGGACTTAAAGCTGAGCTTTGACACATCTCCTAGGTTGTGGGAGAGTACAGAAGACCCTAAGGAAAGAACTTGAACCCAACTTTGAAATGATGTAATCAATGACATTAGGCAACAGAGCTGGAGTTCCCTGAGTGTTGGAACCAGTTCAACAGGTATATGAGACAGAGCAGCGGAAACCCTCGCCAGAGCCCAGCTGAGTTCAGGGCTCCCCTCCCCCACGGCATCACTTGGGGACCCCATCAGCTCTGTTATGACGTCCGGTGGATATGAGAGGAGTAGGTGATACTACTAATGGATCAAACTCAAATTCGAAAGCGTCCAAGCAGATTTTAAAAAGATCAGCAGAAACTAGGAACACATCTAACGGAGGACCTGCAAACTCTGGAGCGTTCCAAAAGCGGAGCCTTTCTGAGAAGCTTTGATAGCATCTGGGGGAGGAGCAGCGGCGGGAAATAAATACGAGAGACCAGACGTACGGCTGCTGCCGCCGCCACTGCGGCTCGAGTCGGTCTTGCGCAATGTGAGTGGGAGGTGCTCAGTTCGCACTGCAGAACTGCATGCTGGGATTGTCCGAGTGGGCAGGTAGACCGCCGTGTACTTATAGTTACTTTGTTTTAAGGATATGGGCATTGTTCGAACAAAATTCTGGCAGAGATGCTGCTCCGGTCATTTGCACCTCCAGTCAGTAGAAGGGAGGGTGGGGTCTTCCACCAAAGGGGAAAACCAAAGCAGATTCGGGGATCTTTGGAGGTATAGATCACTTGGGAAGCAACACTGTCACCAAGCGTGCTAGCGTAAGAAGAATCTCTCAGAGGACCAAGACACAGAAGCACGAAATAGAATTGCTTTAAATGCAGGTTGGAATACTTCATGGTTCTGCAGAGATTGCAAAAGACTTCTCTACACAGATGCCAATTAGCGAAACAACTAGTTTCTGCTTGTCCTTCTGCGTTACGGGTCGTTTCTGTCATCTCCTCCGTGGATTTCTTTGCGTTCGCTGCGTGCTCACTGGAAGAGGCAGGAACTGTGCCAGTGCCGGGGTATTTTTTTTTTGCCAGGACCTCGTTTCACCATAACAATGACTAACGGGCAGTAACTTTTAATGTAGGATACAGAGCAAAGTGGGAATGGGATGCTTGAGGTATGTCTTCGTGCTGACTCATTCATTCGTTCATTCGTTCATTCATTCATTCGTGCTGACTCATTAAGAGCAATTACCTCCCACTCCTCATCCATCCCCAAATCAGTCCACACTGTCCACGCCAGCACTTCCTCGGACCCGCTCCAGAACTCCAGCTGCAGCGACACCTATCCATATCCCCATCTCTACCACGGCCGTCGTCTCTCACCTGGCCTGTTATATTAGCTTCATGGCACTCAGCTTTTCTGCCTTAGTCTTTAACAGCCCCTTTCTTCAGAACAACCAAGCTCCTCAAGAGAAGTCATAAATCATGCCAAATCCCGGCACAAAACCCCACAGCCCTGTCTCTTAGACGGAAAGAGAAACCTGACCCCGTATGGGTTACGTCTACAAGGCTCTGCAGTTTGGACCCGCCTAATGGCCTCTGTGGAATAGACCCCCCATCTACTCACCACTGCCTTTCTTATTACAGGCTCACAACCCCCTGTTTTTGGATACTGCCAGGCTTTCCCTAAACTCAGGCAGGGTCTTTGTCGTTTGTATTTTGCTCCTGGCTGGGGGTGCCTGTGGGGTGGACTTTTCCAGGACTGGCCCCTTGTCATTACGTATAGATCAGAAAAGCCATACCCCCAGAGAGCCCCACCGAAGCCAGTGCTGGACTTCCCTCTCTGAATGTGTGTGTCTGTGTGTGTCTGTGTGTGTGTGTGTGTGCTCACGTTTATAGCTTACTATCTGTCTCATTCACTAAACATGAGCTCTACGAGGAAGGAGACCTGAGCAGCCTGTGCCCAGCGCCTACAACATAGTGCTTACACTAGACAGTTAGTACAGGCTGAGCAGAGGAATACTTTCTTTTAATAATGTAATAATACAAAGGGTTTCTAGGGGTATTTTTAAAACCATACTTTAATTCATATTTTGCTAAGCAATTAAAAAACAGAGACCAAATATACTAAACTGTTTGATTTTTTTAAAGACTTTTCCTAATTAATTTTGAGAAGGAAGTCCCCCAAACACAGTATTTATCATAGAAAAGATATCATACATTAGGTGAGGTTTTGAGTATGTGTTTAAGATCTGTTAAAGAAATCATAAGCTCTCTCAATACAACAGAACACATTCAGAGTTATCAAGATTTTCTGGAGCTCTCTATCAACGTGATGAATGAGACAACTAGTCACTCTTAAAATATGTCACTGGAAAATTCTTCCAAGTCCTGGAGAGATCGCTGAGCGGTTAAGAGCACTTGCTGCCTCTGCAGATGACCCAGGTTCAATTCCTAGCATCCGTATGGTAGCTCAGAACCATCTTTAACTTAGTGCCAGGTGATATGACACCCTCTTCTGGTTTCTGTGGGTACCAGACACATGTGCGGTGTACACTGATATATGCAGGCAAAACACTCATGCACATAAAACAAAAGCAAATTGTTCTTTAAAGAAATAAAGGAAAACTCTTCTGACTACTCCACATTTATTTTTTCAAAGAAGACAATAAACCATAAATATTGCTAAAATATATAACTCAAAGATCCCAGGATTTTGCATGAACTATGAATCATAACTTACTTGTCTCTATCTTTATTTTTACCTTATTTATTGGAATGTATGTGTGTTTATCACGTCTGTGGGTACCCCCAGAGGCTAGAAGAGGGTGTTAGATGCCCTGGAGCGGGCAGCTGTGAGCTGCGTGACTTGGGTGCTGGAGCAGAACTTGTGTCCTCTGGAAGAGCAGTAGATGCACTCGCCCACTGAGCAGGGAAGTGCCAGTTCCTCACTTGCCTATAATCTATAGGATAAATTTTTCTATTGTCAGACCGTGTTTGAAGATAGTTAGGGAAAGTCGACCATGAGATACTTTGTGGGAAGAATTCTTTCTGAACAGCTACCACTCCATCCTACTATACTTTAAGGGGGGGGGGGGGTAACTACACTTTATTTTCTTACAAAAATCCACTTAAACACAGCCCTTGGGGTACAAATGTCAAAAGTAGGATAATTCAGATACTATCAAGCCCAGTATAAGCATTCAAGGTGAACTTCGAATGTGAAAAACCTGAAAATATTCCAGTAGTAAGCGAAGGACATTGTTGTTGACATTTTGGACACTGTTTTCAAGTAAAAGACTTTGTGAGCTGGTTAGCATGAGAAAGATAAGTTAGTGGGATGAACAATGAAGGGCACCAAAGATGGTCTCCGGACCACTAGAGGCGAGAGAGAAGCCTGCAGAGCATGAAGGGGCATGCTGAGCTGGAGAGCAGGCTGAGATGAGAGGAAGAGAAGAGCTGAAACCCAGTCCTGGTAGACCAGATGGCTTAGCACTCATTCTCACTATTCAAGGCACTGGTTATGTTTCCATGGGGTCATCATGTGACATGCTCGTGTGAGTCACTCTTCTGTGACTACAG